AGCTGATTTTAATTTACCAACTTTTCTTAATACCGCATCAGACATGTGTAATATTATAGAAGTGTATGCCGATTCATCCATATTCTCTTTTTCTTTATTAATCAAGTTTGCAAGAAAATAGTCATCAATAGCTTTGGAAACTTTTCGTTGAACAAGAATACCTTTCATTTTTTGTTGCCAAATTGAAAAATCTCCTTTACCATTAAAGACACCCAACTCAAAGTGATGTGTCGACATTTTACCAAGTCCTTTAATACTTATGTGAGTTAATCTATTGTGCCACTTGTGCGTGTCATCAGTGTTGGTCAAATTTATAGAAGAAGTTGAGTTTTCAACAATTTTAGTAGTGATCACATAAATACTATTTTTTTAGTACCTTTACATGTGACAAGAGCACCCTTAATCATTTTAAACATGTTGTTTCCAATTTTACCAGTAAAAACATCAGTTTCTAATGCTCCTACTGAAATAAGATTTCTAGCCATTTCAGGAATATATCTAACTCCATGTAATTTAAGCACATAACCAGTGCCAAATTTTAACGTGATATCACCAATGGCAGTAATTTTTTATGCATGATTATTGTACAAAATAGCATGACCACTTTCAGATTCTTGCATATTTTCAAACCAGTCATTATGTGATGAAACATGAAATGATGCACCAGAATCAAGTATCCATTCATTTAAATATGATTTCACAATCAAGTTTATTTCAATATGTTCAGAGTTTAATAACACATATACTTCACAAAATTCATTAGAGGAAATAATTACATTTGCCTCATCGTGAATCTTTTCCTTTTGTTTGTTTTTCTCAACATAACAATCTTTAATGAAGTGTCCAGTTTTACCGCAACCATAGCATTTTTTACCTTTAGTTTTATTTCTTGACCTAGATAAACTTCTACTTTTCTTTTTACTACCAGACACATATCCCCTTTGGTTCTCACGGGTTCTTGACTGAGGCCAACCTCTCATAATATGAACCTCACCACTTCTTCTCTCGACTCTCTCAGCTCGCATTTCTATTTCTTTACTTCTTAACGAGTCTATGACAATTTCAGGTGTCAAAGTATCTCTCTCATATTTAATAGCATTTTTAACATCTCTATAAGTTTCAGGGATAGCATTTAACAAAATTATTGCCTTATACTCTTCATATACTTTTTCACCACAGTTAGTGATATCTTGCACGAGTTTATTAAAGATATCCAAATTATCATCTAAATCTTTTGAAGAGTCGATTTTGAAGCTTAAAAAGCTCTAAAGTAGAAAAAGTTTGTTTGGAGTTGACTTAGACACATAAAGTTCCTCCAGTTTTTCCCAAAGTTCTTGAGCTGATTTTAATTTACCAACTTTTCTTAATACCGCATCAGACATGTGTAATATTATAGAAGTGTATGCCGATTCATCCATATTCTCTTTTTCTTCATTAGTTAAGTTTGCAAGAAAAGAGTCATCAATAGCTTTGGAAGCTTTTTGTTGAACAAGAATACCTTTCATTTTTTGTTGTCAAATTCAAAAATCTCCTTTGCCATTAAAGACACCCAACTCAAAGTGATGTGTCGACATTTTACCAAGAAATGCACAGAACACAAATTCAAATATATAAAAGTCACAAGTCACACAGATTACACGAAGTAACAAGATTTCTATGGTTTCACAATAATGCGCTATTCTAGAACCCTAGGGTTTCGTAAGAATTGAGTTCTCAGATCAAGGGAAGAACTAGAATAAGAGTCCGGGTGCAAGTCTAAAATAATACGAGATAACGCAACAACGTTCAACAAATTAATCTAATGACGAATAAATAATTTCACTTAGAAAATTAAACAGATGATGGCACGTAATCCTAGGTTCTATCAACAAGCAATGGTTGCCAAGTAATGACAATCCCCAATCCTAATGATCACCCCACACGATGATCTGCTAGTGCGATAATGTAAAGTTTCAGCCAATTTACCCAAGCGGACTTGTCTGAGTTTGTAAATTACGAGATATGCAAATTTACTGCTTTAGGGCCACAATTTTGGCCTAAAATAATTCAATAAATATGTGGCAATTTCGACCGTTGATCCACCAACACGAAAAATGTTAAAAATAATGTGAGGAACAAACTACCTGAAGACGACTTCCCCAGAATCTCAGCCACGCACCCACACGCGCCTCTGCCGGAGTTGTCACGCGCCTCCGTCGGAATCACGCGCCGCACACCCAGCACCACCTCCACCTGCACGTCTCAACCCTGGTCTCCGTTTCACCAATAGATTTCTGGATTGACGGGAAATCGTGTTTTCAGGTTCGATTTTTGTGCAAGAAACTGGACAGTCCGATTTTCTGTTTCCTGTCGATTTTCTGGTCGATTTTTGGCCCGATTTTCACCACCGCTAAGCTCTGATACCAACTGCGCAACAAACCCACCTACAAATCAAATCAAACAATCAATTAGTTTAAGATTTGAAAAGATTCAAGGAAAAGAAAACAAGACCAAAAATGCATAAAATTGAAGAACGATTTCCCCTTATTGATTCGGCTCAGAAACTCGATCCACACCACAAAGGTATCTCCAATTTGAAGGCCATTTTTAGTCACAAAGACGAATTCACAAAGAAAGACAAGGGAGGTGTCGTGTATTGCACAAAACAGGGAGAGTTCCTTCTTCTTGGTTTTTCTCTCAGTTTTTGGTGTGTATAAAATGAAGGTGAAGGCTCCAATTTATAAGGTTAGTAAGGAGACTGAATTTCCCAGGAGTCTTGCAAGATTAGGATAGAAGATTTGCAAAATTATGTTAATCCAAAAGGATAGAGTTCATTCAAGATGGGATAAGGAGGTTAAAAGAAAAGATATCGATTTATTTATCCATCTTTTATTGTGATTTTAAATTACCTCCAAATTGGGTATTGAGCATCTAATCCAATGGACTGATTACCTTTAAATACCCAACATAATTGGGCTACTTCAATTGTGGTGTGGATTTAATTTTTAAATTATGGGCCTATAGCCTATGAAGTTAAAACGGGCCTCGATTTTTCATCATCACCTAGGAAATTTAGGCATCACTTACCAAACATACCCAACAACACCCACCATTGCTACCTTCCTCAAACTTGATTTCATAAGCTATAAACTCAAGCTTGTCACCCAACACATCACCCTCAATCATCGTGTAGTTGCACACAAAATTATCCTTGTCCAGCTCGTCTATCCGATTTTTTGCAAACTTAAAATGACTTGCTACCCAAAAAATAAAATAAAAAAATGTAGTATAATAAAAAAAAATGGGAATGCTAAAATCATGTGAATATGATTGTGTACGACGATACGACTTCTAAATAAGATATTTCGACATTATAAGCCAAGAAATGTAGGATCAAGTCTCATTAGCAACTCATTGAAATTTGTGCGTAGACCAGGCTTTAATAGAATACAAACTCGATTTACACATAGTGTTTAACACACATATATTGCTTACATTCGGTGAAGTTAACTTGCTCGATGCTTCCTGCTCCTCAATCACCTTGTAATGTATCTCCACTTCTGATGGATTGGGGTAAGAGTTTTGGTAATAGTGTGTTGGAGTCCAAGATCAAAGCCTTGAATAGGCGGGGTGCGCCTTCCGGGCAGCCAAATTCTTGTAACTAAATTAACCGTATGATTTTAGCTAGATAGGCGTTTGATAAAATTCCATGTGTATATATATAGAGTTAGTTGGAAAAAGTATTTCTTGGCCTATAACTTTGGAAATTTCAATCGAACTTCTTACATCTTTTCAACGCGGGCGGCCTTAATTTGGAGGCTTGATGAATTGATTGTTTATCTCCGTTAAGCCCTTTTTGACTACTATTTTGACCTTTTATTTATTTATTTATTTATTTATTTATTATTATTATTATTATTATTATTATTATTATTATTATTTGTGTGTGTGTGTGTGTGTGTTAGAGTCCACTTTTAGGCTCTTGTTTACACATAAATACGGGTTTGATATTATTCTTTACCTTCTATATAAATTGAAAAATTGTTAAGATCAGAGGAAGACACGCCAACAAATTTTATATTACATGTCCATAAGGTAAAAGAAACCCAAAATGAAATCTAAGCCCCTGTTTGACAAACATTATTTGAAAACTTTTTTTTATATATATACCCATCTCCAACCCCCACGCATTCACGCAATAAAATATTCTACACGTAAAATCTAAATTTTTCCATATTACTTTCAATCACACATTTTCCTAAAAATCACTATCCAAAATATTATTTTTCTCAAATAATGGCAAGGGTTGTATTAGTAGGTACCATCTTCGTTGTACAAGCCAAGCCTATGTGAAAGAAAGACATAAATTTGGCAACAATATTGTAGTTCCATGCTGCAACTTATTAAGAAGGGTTGCATTAGGACTTTCTAACTTCAAATTAGCCAGCATTCTATGTAAAGTTTTGTTAAAAATCAGATTTTTAATTGATTTTGATAAAAAAAGATGAAATATGCGATCGAAAAATTGTAAGTCCCATGAAATGTTTTAGTCAAATTAATTGTTGATTTTGATTTGATTTGATTTTTATCAACTTTTAAACTAAACAAACATGGACTAAGTCTTCAACTTTTTGAATATCAAATTTCAGGGATTTCTTTAATTTCTATATATGCGGAATTAGAACAGTGAAGTTGGATTGTCGTTTAAGAAAAATAGATTATAATATTTTCTAAAGTTTCAAAATTTAGTCAAATTTTGTAAATACGGCACATCACATTTGAGATGTTTCATTGTCATTTCTCTCTCTTGGAATTTTATAAAACTCCTCAAAATCATTTTCCGTCATGATTGACATTTTCAATATTAAGCTACCAACTACATTGCACATTTCCGTCCAAGTAATTTTTTTCCCCCATTCAATACAATGGACCACATAAAAAAGAATATTATTTGGATGCAATCTAAATCTTGTCATTCAATACATAGGCCACATAAAAAAGAATATTATTTGAATGCAATCTAAATCCTGGAAAAATTTAATGATCTTTATATCTGTCCATCATTAGACGAATCAAACCTTGTCAACAAGATTCATAACAACATATATAGAACCAACAAATCAATTATTTGAATCGAAGACAACAAATTTAACTTATTCAACCATAGAAATTAATTTGAACATCAAGGTGAAGTAAAAAAAAAAAAAAAAACAAGACTAAAAATATCGAACAACGAGATCTTCAAGTATATGCACGAGGATGTGCCAAAAGATAGGCTTCCACAACTTCATACATGCCTATAGCACGATCTTTTCCAAATTCAATATCATCCTCTTTGATCTTCACATTCTCTTTTGTATGGTATTCACTTGAAATCTTACACACACATCCTCCATATCCATATGGTTCAAATTTCACATCATAAGCGATTTTTTCCAGCTTGTCCATAAGTGCATCCCCTTCAATCATAGTGAATTTACACGTCCACTTTTCCTTGTCAAGCTCATCAATTCTATGCTTCACATATCTAAAAGGACTGGCTGCAATTAAAAACACACAAATCCAAACCATTAACGTAAAGTTTGGTAGGGTAGGCCGGATACTGGATAGAGATATTGAATTTCTATATACAGATCAGACGATTTGACTAACCTTCGGTGAAGTTTAACTGTTTTAAGCTTCCGGCGTCTCCGTTTCCTTGAAGATATTCGATACTCTTGATTGATGAGAACATGAGCTGGGGACAGAGATTGTGTGAATCAAGAATCAAGGCTTTGAACATCCTATCTGGGGTGACTTTTGTTTTGAAAGATTGAGAAACCTTAACAACACCCATATTTCTTCGGACTTACACAGTAACGATGAAGAAACTAAGGGCTTCAAATGGGGATCTTTGAGAGATACTGAGCTGACAAAAGTCTAGCATTCAATAGGAGCCTTATCTTTTTTATTTTTGACTTTTCAACACGTCTTGAGGGGGATAGGTAATGACTTGCTTTTTGTTTATATATAGAGTTGCTTTCCCGTATTTACTTGGCACTTATATTCATGTATTACCTTTGATTTCAGCCAAAGACGCAGATTATCTCTAACTGCAATTTCGTATTGATAGTTATAAGATTGGTCGGACACAAACTTTTCATATGCTAGCATTTTCGTTTCGGAGTTGGTGCAAATTCCTTTATTGCGATAGGATTACGATCACAACTTAATAGTCTATTAAATTTTTGGTACTCCACACCGTTTAACTAGTTCAAGTTCTCTATATTCTTTGTGAATCATCAAGTTTTTATGCATGTTTCCCGGCATTAATGATTTTTGTTACAAGAACTAGAGTGTCTTTGAATTGTACCATTTCAGATATTAATACTCCTATACATGCATACTCACGCATAGATGAAAACAAATTATTCATTTTATAATCGGAAACATTCATCATCCAGCCAAGAATGTATAATTCTGGCTTGGGGAACAAATAAGATAAGCTAAAAGCCCACAGATTGAAAGGATATTTGCCATAATTGTCACAAGGCACCACTAATTAACATAGGCATCAGGATTTGCCAAGAGGTAAGCTTCCACAGCCTTGAACACACCAGCGGCCTTCTCTTTACCAGCCTTAATATCCTCTTCTTTAATTTCGACACCTGGTTTAGTGTGGTATGTGCTAGAATTTTTACCCTTGGATCCTCCCTCGGGAGTGGATTCGATCTTTATCTCATAAGAAATCGACTCAAGTATGTTCGTCAATGCATCACCTTCAATCAATGTGTACGAGTAACTCATTTTTTCCTTGTCTAGTGCATCGATCCTATGCTTCACATACTTGAATTCGCTGCCTGTAAATGTCAGAGTGGACAATAAACAAGATATTAACTTGATAAGTTATCGAGTTGTTGACTATGAAATCAAATTTTTAGTAACATTTTAAGTTATCTCAAACAAGCACGAGAAGTAAAAGGAGAAAGCGGGTGGAGTTGGATGGGTAGATTGTTAAAATTTTTACTTTCTTTTTTATGTTACATAGGCAGATGTAGGGGAACCGGACTGGATTTAGTTTTTTTTTTTTTTTTTTTTAAATAAAATATTTTTTTTTTTAAATAAACTACAATAGAGTTGCTTCGCTTGTCTAGAAGGTAGTTGAAAGAAGCAAATGAGATAGAATTTAGTCAAAAGGAAATTAAATTTTTTCGTGTCAAAATGAAAAATCTCAAGAACCTTCATCTCAAATGCTTTAATTGCTATCCAAGTGGCAATTAAAATGAAAGGCTTCTAGTTTACATGGCGTTGATGTCTAATTAATCTATATTCAAGTTCAAATTTTATCGTCAACAGATTCGAACTATAACTATAAAGTTTTGAATTTTGTTGACTCACTCCATCGAATAGAGCTCCCACATTTAAACGACTTGATAATGTCTATTTTTTTCTTTGCAAAGTTAGCTAAAACAAGTCCAAGCCTCGTTGCATTGGAAATGGACTTTTTAAACACTATCTACTTTTGCAAATGTGGCAATTTTTTGAAATAATTTGTGGTAACAACTCGAGTATTTCAGGTCAGATTGAGATCACGTTTCAAGTGAAGAGAAAATTATGGTACTCACCTCATTTCCAATAATAATTTAAAATATACTTTCACCTGTTTTATTAATCATAAATACTGTGTTTTATGTAGTGAAATAAAAAAAAAATGAAAACTTAATCAAATTATAAAAGATAATCATTTAATACCTAAAATTTCTACAACCACTCCCGTAAATTAATCTACAACAAACATGCCATTGCCTAAAACATCACAAAATCCCCAAATTGGTGTCTTCTACTCGTCATTTCAGATTACAATCTCAGTTCTTCTCTATTCCCCGTGGAAACAAGAAGAAAGAAATCTACAAAACCCATTCTCGTATCACATCCTACAGATTTACCGCAATGTTTGATAAACACCGTATCACACAAATCCACATTTGATTCGATTCTCCCATTGATTACATACGGTTAAATAGAACAACATCAAGAAAACAATTTGAATACATTCTGAGGATCAAGACACATTTATACTATAACAAAATAATGTAATCCTTAATCCAAGATTTTCAGGATCTGTTCGTTAGTAAATATTGGCTACCAGGGACAGATTTTTTTTGGTGCATTCCAAAAATCATTAGGAATGATATATATTGGGTTTATTATATGAAGATTCCGACAAATTTAACATCACATAACAGATGAATATTCAATCTATCTGACCGTTTGCCTCACAGAGGTGCAAATTTTTTATGAAGGAGATTAGGCTTGCTGTAAACGAATGTGTTTCAGGCGGTGATTCCAGCAGTTTTTTTGTCCCTTGCTGTGCAATTATTTGGATGGTAGTCAAAACATTACACACGATTTTCATCTCCTTCTTTTTTTGAATTTAAGTCTATTTATGGGATGCATTTATTGAAAAACGTGTAAATGGGTCAATCAAAATTATCTTCAGTTACAATTTGGTTTCTGAATGTTAATTAGAAACTAGTATTTTTAGAGATATTTATCATTCAACATAGTATATTTGATTTAATTTCTCAATATATGGTAAGATATGAATGTGTTTTTTATACTAATGCATATGTAAAAATTTCCCTCAAGTGAATCCAAATAAGGCCCATGAATTTTGAGTGGACCTAAGGCCCAACTTTTGCAATATGAAAGCCCAAAATTAATGTTCAATCAATAAAGTGATCCATCAGGGCGCCGACGACAAAAATTAAGTAATTTAAGCTGTTTGGTTCCAGCTAAAAAGTGGACTAAAATTATTATAGATATGAATTGAAAAAGTCTCTAATTTGCATGACGAGTAGTCGTGACTCTTCAATTATAAAATGGTGAATATGAAATAGTCATATTGTTTCGAAAAGAGTGTGACAATTCAAAATGTGCATGATAAAAAGTCATGACCTTCTAATATCTATACCATTAATTGGACCAGTTGAAAGTGAGTTTGGCTTTGATGTATATCACTTGGACAATCTTCCATACGTAGGAGTCATATATGCCGTTAGCTTAATTTACTTGGTATTACAGCTGAAATTGACCTCTCGTGATCAAAGGATAGAGATTCAGTTTTTTCGTCTTCCACAGCATAACAATCCGCAGGTGGATACGATACGAAGGAAGATGAAGGAAGAAATTCGCGTTATATGCAAAGCATCAATGAAAAAATATGGTTTTAGGGGAAAGATTTGTTAAACTTTCATGATTGACTTTGTTGAACTTGAATGTGTTCTCTAACTCAAATTAAATAAGATGCAATCTTTTTTTCCTTGTTGTTTCGCGCGTGTTCGTCACTAACAATTAAAAGGGATCAGACGATTGTGTAAGGGACAAACCTCTTGAGACAAAGTCCCAAAAAGGGGTGTTCTTTATTGGCGATGACTTTACAATCGGAAATTAAAAACAGAATGCCTCCAAGGGGCGCAAGCACACGAGTTACTGAAAGAAGTGTTTAAATCTAAGCTAAGAAATTTAAAATTACATGTTCTCTGTTCGAGAGTGTTTTATTTTGGTCCTTTTGCTCTATGTCCTTCCTTCCTTTTATACTCCCTGGATGATCTCTTTGTGATCAACCGCCTAAAAACTGTTGGATCGTTCTATAACTGCCCATTTTCCTCGTAATGGCCAACTTGTTATGGAACTACCTTTTCTAACTACTGACATTACTCTTTGTCGTTCAACCGTCTTCAATTAAGTTTCTTGAATCGTGGAACGTGATAGGGCTGCTTTAATAACTGCTTTGATAACTACACTTCTTGATAACCACAACACTTTATGTTTGCTAAGACTTTGGGCGACTCGAAGGTTTGGGCAAGAATAGAGTAACAGCTCTGGGCGACTGTATGGCACTCCATTCGCTCAGATTCTGGGCGACTTGCAAACTTAGGCGATGGTGTTGCCACGTTCTTGGGCCTCCCTATTTGGGTCTTCATCTTGAATTGTTTGATTGGACTTCGTTCTTTGGGCTATCTGATTTGGGGATCCTCCAATTGGGCTTCATTTCTTGGGCTGTTCGATTTGGGCTGAATTTTTATGTGTCAACAATTACCCCCCAATATGGCAGAATTAATACCAATTATTAAATTTTGTCATATTCACTTTGTATTTCCAGCAGCATTCGAAATTCTCAAGAATTTCAATCATTGTTTTCTTCCATAGCTTGAAAAAGTGCGACGTTTTGCAAACCCTTATAACCCCCAAGCACGCAATTTCACTGCACCATTAAATCACGCCTCACTTTTTCGCGTTTCTCTCCCACGATTTACTATTCATCTTTTTGTTTCCCTGCTACGTAACTCTGAAAAAACTCCGTTTCATCCCTAATGGCTACTTCACAATCTCAATCAGGCGACTCCTTTAGTTTTGATGACTTTCAGAAACTTCTGATTCGTCCATACATAACTTCAAACTTTCTCACGCCTGCCAATGTCGAACTCAATGAGTTCTACCTAGGTCCTTTGTTCAACAATGCAAAGCCAGTCGAACAGGCGGCGGTGAGCCAGCTGTTTCCTTGTACTCAAGGCCCTCCATTTCTAAACTCTCTGCCGCTGGGGCCATTTCGCGAAAGAGGTATTCGCACTTGACCTAAATCTGATGTAGTTTTTCGTTGGTGGCATGCTCGCCTTGTGGACCATGGTCCTACTAAGGCACTTTTTGATAATGCTAGGATTTCTGATTTGTTAGAAATCTCTATTCAACCCCCTACTTTTGATTCAGCACTTTTTTCGATCGCTTTGAGTTTTTGATCTTCTGAGTATAATACATTTATTTTCCCTCTTGGCCCCATATCTATTACTTTAAGGGATGTTGGGGCCCTAGTAAATCTGCCACCTTTGAGCGATACCATCTTTCCTAGTATCTTGGTTTCTGGTGGCATCCCAAAGTTTGGTAGAAACTACACCAAGTCTTATTCAAGCCTGCAAACCCTTCATAACCATTCGAGCGCTAAGCCTTCCCATACTGAGCGAGTGACCTTTCTTCTGGTTTGGCTTTGTAAATATATTTTGTGTGTGCCAAGCATAAAGCCCTCCTTGAGCTATTTACCCATAGCGCACGAATTAGCGCGTGACAGGCCTCTGAATTTATGTTCTTTCTTTTTGGTTGTCCTCTATAGAGGCATGGCTTCTCTTCAAACTCAATTGAAGAATGGTGCATCTCCCACTGGCAGTGGACCTCTTTGGTTCACTCAAATGTGGTTGAGATCCTATTTTCCATTGCTTGGTGCTCCATCAATTTCTCGTCCTTCTGCTAGCTGTTATGGGCTAGCCATTGAGCCCCTAGCTCCTGTAAATATGTCTAGAAGGGACATTTTTTCATTCTTTTATTCTTTGGATTCAATCCCTTCATTTTTTTCCTTTTTCTCACTTTTTAACTCCAGACTATGTGCATCCTCCCTCTACTATAGATAGCGCGAGCACCTCTCTGCTCATTTGGATCCAGTTTTTGATTGGGAGGGAGTTATTCATGATATTTTGACTGGGACCAATGCCAAGGCAGGGGTAGAAATATACGCTCCCCAATATTTTGCTCGCCAACTTGGTTTCGGCCAAACCTGGCCTGTTCCTCCTTGCTATTCAAGGAACTTGATTGACCGCTTCCATATTATCAATAAGGCGGAGGCAGAGGTTATAAATGCTCGTAATCTTCTTTTGACGAGCCATTTTTCTTTAGCCCCTTTTAATTCTAGCCATGCCATTCATCCCCCTTTTGAACAGCTCTAGCCGTCAGTAAAGCGCAGACTATTTGCGACTAATGCCAATCGTGCCTTTCATTCACTGGACCAGCCGAGCATTTCTTCCCCTCCTCCTGTTTTAGTCACTCCTTTGTCCATCCAGAGTCCTCATCGTCGCGCTAAACAGTCTGCTCGTCCATCTTCTTCTCTCCCTGCCAAGCCTACTGCAGCCAAAAGTGCCCCAAGCCGCAAACGACCAGCCTCAGCATCTCCCATTCTGGAGGATGATGTTGATGATGATGATGATGATACCCCTCTTATCATCAGGAGGAAGGTAATTGAATTGGTTTACTCACAAGCATACTTTTCCATACTTGAAACTTTTCTGTGTGCTGATGATTTATTTGGACTTCTCAGAAAAGTTTAGCCTCTCCTTTAAAGGCTTTGGTATCGGCAGCTCCTGCTCCATCATCTTCCGCTGAGGCTGCTTCATCCAAACCAGCTGATGAAGGGACTATGCTTAAAGAGACATCTTCAGTCCCAGAATCCTCATCACAACCAATGGATGAGTCACCTTGTTCCCAGGGCGTCAACCCCCCAAACATCGAAGCGAAGGTAATTCAGTTTTTTGATACTTTACCTTTGCTTGTGCTATTGGTTTCTGATTTGTTGCTTTTGAGTTTTGCAGATGCTCCTATGAATCTACCCGTTGTGGCAACATCTTCTCGCTCAGACAAGGCGAAGTCCTCACGAATGGTGAAGTCACAGGTGGCAGACTTGGCCGAGGATATGCTATCTTCCACGATTATTGATGAGGTAATCTTTGCTTCACTTCTATTTCCATCTTGTTCGTTGTAGTGAGAATCTTCAATATTGGCAATTTTGTTTGCAGGATGCTGACAAGATTGTGCGTTCCATCCAAAACTTGTTCGCTTTCTGGGGGCAAGTCAAGACATCTCTCCTTCTCCATTTGGTCGTCCTGCTACTTCTTCAGAGGAAGATTTGAAGTTCCTCAAGCAGTCGATATTTGAGTACGTGTCCTTCATGGATATGGACATTGGTAAGGCTAGTGCTGCCAGACACAAGGATAAGCTTGAGCATTTGAATGCGAAGTTGGAGCAAGCACTGACACTTTCGTCGCTCAATCTTTCTGCCGATTTTAAAGCGACGTTGAAAGTTATCCATTCCGAGGTCCTTTTCTTGCTGGACAAGAATGCTGAACTGAAGGCCAAAAGTACTCAATATTTTCGTGCCGTATCTGAAAAAGAATCTTTGCATCTGGAGATCAACAAGGCTGAGGACGAGTTGAAAGAAATCTCTTCCGAAGTAATGATTGAAGACTCTTTGATGGTTAGTTTGGCTGCTCAGATGAAGGAACTTCAAGCCAAAATGGACGACTGCAAGGCGAAAATGACTGCTAAAAAGCGTAACGCCTCCCAGGGAATTGAGCGAACTAAGTCTTTGGTCGAGCAGTACAAGAAGTTGGAAGTTGATGATGATGTCGTGGCCGAATTGAACATTACTTCCTCTCGGCAGAACGAGGATTGGGAAAAGTTTAGAGAACAAATTCGTTCAGTGTGGGGTGGACTGTAATTAAGACATATGACGCCTTAACTTTTCTTTTTGTAATTTCGCATTTGACTTTCCCTTTGTAACCTTGTTCATCATTAATGAACATATATGTTAACTTCTTGTGCATTTATTTGACGTTTGTCTTTTAATCACCAATTCTTCAAACATTTAACTGCTTTGTGCTAAAAATCTTGCACATTTTCTCTTGATATTTCCACCTCTTTTCCCAAGACTTTGGGCTACTTAATTCCATTTACTAGGTAGAATGTGACTGCTCATATTCTGTCTCTTCATCTCCACCCCCCAATAAATGTACGTATGCTTCGCACTTTCCATCTTCCATCTTCATTTTCATTTTCTTCTTCGAAACTAATTTATTGCCATTGTTTGGCATTCTGACAACCAATCCAAAACCTTCGTCTTCTATAAAAATGGATTGTTTGGTCCGCCCATTTTACTATTTGCCTTGATGTCACCTTTGGTATGGGAGGTATAGGAAATCTTATTTGGCCAGCAGCAAAGTTTTTCCCATCAAAGTTCTTCCTATCGTCTCTTTGTCCTTTACAAGGAGTTCAATGATAGAAGGTAATTTTTGGAATGCTTGCGGGCCACCTTGCTTGCTGAGAGTGCTTCTCAGCCTCTTTGCCCACCATTGCAGCGATGCATTTGGGAAGGCGGTGCGAGGCCAGTCCATCCTCTTACTCGGCGGTCGACCGGGAGATTAGCTTACTTTTAATTGTAGCTTGTAGGTTTTGATAATAAAGGACGTTATTCGAACGTATTTCGCTCTGACCTTGTTATCTTTAATCGTTCAACATGTTTTGATCACGTTTTTATTTGTTCACATTCCTATAAAGAAGGAACATATTTTTTCAAATATTTGCCGTTAATGAATCTCACGTGCTTGGTTCCATCTAAATCTTCCAAATGATATGCTCCATTGGGCAACACACTGTTTATTTTGTATGGTCCTTCCCAATTAGGCGACCACTTTCCATACTTTGGATCCTTGCTATCCAAAGGGAGTATCGTCTTCCAAACTAGGTCACCCAGGCTGAACGACTAGGCTATGACTTTTTTATTATAAAACTTAGCTATTCTTTATTTTTGAACTTGCAATCTATCTAGGACGTCCAACTTTAATTCGTCCAACCCCAATAAATTTTGAACTAGTGATTCGGTATACTCATCATCATTTAACTTATGTTGCAAGCACACTCTAATCGATTCCACGTTGATTTCCATAGGCAAAACGGCCTCCTGTCCATAAGTAAGTTGGAAAGGAGTAATTTTGATACTTGACCGAGGTGATGTTCTATAAGCCCATAAGGCCTTATTCAAACATTCGTGCCAATTTCTGGCATTTTCATCTATCATCTTTCTGATGATATTTTTTAGAATCTTATTAGAAGATTCTGCTTGTCCGTTGGATTGAGTGTAATATGGTGTGGAGTTTACTAATTTAACCTCAAACTCGCTCAAAATCTTGTTCACTTGATCCCCATTCAAAGATGTTCCGTGATTTACCATCAACGTTTGTGGAATTCCAAACCTATAAATGATGTGATCACGGATAAACTCTATAACATTCTTTTGGGTGATCTCTTTCAGAGGTATCGCCTCTACCCACTTGGTGAAATAGTCGGTTGCAACTATAACAAAAGTATGTTGCTTGGACGATGGTGGATAAATCTTCCCTATCAGGTCTATCGCCCAACCCTTGAATGACCAAGGTTTAATAATAGGTGCCATCTCTCGTGTTGGCGCCCTTTGTATTGGACCATGCTTTTGGCATGCTAAACAACTCTTTGCATACTGAACGCATAATTCTCCCATCTTTGGCCAAAAATATCCGCTCCTAATACTTAACCATCTCATCTTTTGGCCAGCTTGATGAGCTCCACATATCCTTTCGTGCATCTCAGCCATGATCGTCCTGACTTCTTGCAAACTTACACACTTTAACAATATACCATCAGAGCGTTTCTTAAACAACTCTTCATCTATTATTGTATAGTTCAGCAAACACAGCTTCATTTTTCTACTAATCCCTCCATTAGGTTCTTTAAGGAACCTTTTAATCTCTGTTCTCCAATCCATTGCATCTCCATCTTGTATGTAGTGAAGTTCAATCTTTCTCGCCCTTCTTTGAGTCATGGGCAATATGGTTCCATACTCACAAGTAGACTTCCAATTCAAAACCTTTGAGTGCCCTGAGGTCATTTGGGCTAACTCATTTGCCACATCGTTATATATCCTATTAACGCAATGAAGTTCTACTTGGTCGAATTCTTCTAACAATTCTTGGGCGATCTCATATTGACTTATAATGGAATAACTTTGGCATTTAAAATCACCAATCAATTGGTGAATTACCAATTGAGAATCGCCCCTAACGATCACATTTTTTACTCCCATTTCTATCATTAGTTCTAGGCCTACGATTAAGGCTTCATATTCGGCCTGACTGTTGGTGCACATTCTGTCTAAAGTGAATGTGAATTTGTAACAAATCCTTAAAGGATTAATCAATGCTACTCCTACTCCTACACCTTTAGAGGTTTTTGATCCGTCGAAATACAACACCCAAGGTTTTAGCTCGAACGAATTGATTTCTAATTCAATTTCTTCAGGCATGTCAAGGCACGGATGATCGTCTAGAAAGTTAGCTAAAGCCTGATTTTTGACTGCCTTTTGAGATATATATTGTATCTCGAATTGTGATAAAGCTAATGTCCAAAGGCCTACTCTTTGGTGTAAAATAGGGCGCGAGAACATATACTTAACTAAATTTACTTTAGAAATTAAATAAACGGTTACGGGCTGTAAATAAGCCCTCAATTTTGTACATGTGAAATACAATGCAAGACATAATTTTTCGATAGCAGAGTAATTACATTCACATTTTGTTAACCATCTACTTAAGTAGTAAATTGCCCTTTCTTCACCAAATTGGTCTTCCTGTGCGACCATTCCAGTTATTGATTCTTTTTCAGCCGATACGTATACTTTCATTGGCCGTCCTTGGATTGGTGACACCATCACTGGTGGACTTGATAAATATGTCTTCAGGCTTTCAAAAGCCTTTTGATGTTCTTCTTTTCAGACGAATTCGTCCTGATTTTTCAGCTTTAAGAGTGGCGAAAAGACTTTAGTTCGCCCTGCACAGTTAGAAATAAAGCGTCTTAAAAAGTTTACTTAGCCTAGAAACCTTTCCAATTCTTTTTTGTTGCTAGGTGGTTTGGCCTCTAAAATGGCATTCGCTTTATTTTTATCAAGTTCAATCCCTCTTTTGTGTACCAAGAAACCAAGAAAGTTCCCTGCATTAACACCAAATACACATTTCAAGGGATTCAGCTTTAGCTTATATTGCTTCATTCGCTCAAACGAACATCTTAACTATTCGAAATGGTCCTCTTCTTTAATGGACTTGACTACTATGTCATCTACATACACTTCAACAAACTTGCCTATCATATCATGAAAGATTTAATTCATTGCCCTTTGATAAGTTGCCCCTGCATTTTTTAGGCCGAAAGGCATAACCACCTATTCAAAACATCATAGAGACCCAGGGCATCTAAAGGCAGTTTTGTGTATATCTTTTTCAGCTATATAAATTTGATTGTATCCTGAATACCCATCCATGAGAGAATACATGACATGTCCGGCAGTCGAGTCGACTGAAGAATCCACCGTGGGCATTGGATACTCATCTTTGGGTGTAGCTATGTTTAAATTCCTAAAGTATATACACAGCCTTAGTTTACCATTCTTTTTTAGTACTGGCACGATATTGGACAACCATTCGACATAACTGGCTGTTCTAATAAAACCTGCTTTCAATAATCGCTCTATCTCTTTCTTCATATTCCCAAGCATTTGTTCATATTTCCAAGCAAAACAATCTTTATACTCCTTTAGCAAAGCGATTAATTTACCACTAACCTCTTGATCGAGCATCTGGCTGATGAATGTTGGACGATCTTCTCCTTCATTGCCAATATTTACTTTGATTAGAGGGTCTTGTGCTTGAGCGTATCCAGGTTTGATGATCCGCATCACTTCGTCGTCCAGTTCCTTTGTAAGTACTTCTTCTTCTAAACAGTCTACCTTGTTGACTTCTCGGCCAATGCTTTGTTCTAACTCGAATACTGCTAATTTGTCCTTCAGCGCTTTCAGGGCTGTCTCTTCTTTCTCCTTGTCATTGCATTCTTTATTGAAAGCCATTAATTTGGCTTTGAAGGCCTGAATATCGACCGTTTGCTCTTATTGCTTAGAACTCATTCAAGACTCCTTGATTATTCTTTTACCAATTACTGGCTCTTCTAGGACCACTATATTTGGCATCATCTGTCTGAACATTTCAGTGAGTACTCCACTGAAAAAGGCTCTTCGCTTTGCGCGACAACTTGAGTTTCTTCCCCATCTTGTACTACCCTGACAGGTCCATAGTTTCCTTCGTACATGAACTTTTCCACCGAGTTTGCTTCTGCGACAAAAGGCCAATGATCGGCCTGTACCACCTTTGCTTCGCCTTTGTTATTCCAAAAGATCAGGCATTGATGGAGCGATGAGGATATACAGCGACTTCCATGTATCCAATCTCTTCCTAGTAACACATTGTAACTAGTAGAACCATCTATTACAAAGAAGACTGTGGTCCTAGTAGTCGTCCCTATAGTTATGTCCAATAGCATAACTCCCTTAGTCGAAGTTGCTCCTCCGTTGAAAGTCATAAGGATAACCTCTTTTGGAATCATGTCACCCTCTGTCTTTGCAAACTTCCTCATCATCATAGATGGAATGGTGTTTATAGCTGCTCCATTGTCGACAAGCACTTTTGCCACAGAGATGCCGTTAACTAGAGCTTTAACGTACAATGGCCTCAAGTGTTTAGTCAATTTCATGGCTGGCCGTTTAAAAATAACTTTTTCGACAGCCTCTATTTCTACTTCCTGCTTGTTTTCTGTCGAATTATCCCTCTGTGATAAGTCGACGTGCAGCATATTACGCTGATCCTCTGTCTCCTGAATTTCCTTCTTACTTTTTTCTAATTCTTCCTCATCAGTTACCCAACCTGTGGGAGGGGGCATTATCCTTGGGGGTGATCCATATTTTTCAGAGTAAGGCACTCTCTTCTTCCTTTTGGGTGTCCCGTACAGTACGTAGAAATTAGAAGGACGCCCAGATGGTTCTCCCAACAAGTCTACTTCGCGAACTCCCTCTTGATGTATTTGTTTCAACAGAGTATTGCGCGATACTCCTCTCCTTCTTCCTTCTACTTCTAGGTCGATTTCTTCTTCAATGTCTGTCATCCCGTCATCTTCTTAATCGTTGTAGGCCTCTCTAGAAGTCTGGCCTTCTTCACATTCCAGCACGCAAGCTTCTCCTTCGTTGTCCTCCCTTTCTTCTTCTTTTTCTTTATTCTTGAATTCATTGGCCAGTAAATAATTATTGGCCACGATAGGAGGTAACGTACCGAACTGGATAGTAAGGAGCTGATCTGGATCTTCTCCATCCCTTCTGTCCCGCTCAAACTTTGATCTCCCAGAAGAAGTTTCTGGCAGCTCTTTCATTGATTCATCTGTACCGGTTTCTTCACTATTCTTGAGAACATTTTGATTGGCTATCTTGAGTAGTTTAGGCGCTTTAGGATGTGGCACTCCCTGTTGCTGCCTCATCATTCGTCAATAGTTTTGTTGGAAACGTCTTTGTTGGGTTCTAGTCATCTCATCGAAGGGTACTGCTCTTCTTGCATTATACTGGAACGAATGCCATACATTTGACCGGCAAGGTTGAGGCCTGAATGTTCTCCCATTATCTGCTAGCTTGAACTGCCTCTCAAAAGGCGTTCCTCTATAGAATGATGTACCTCGCCCTCTACCAGGCTGAGTGTTTGGGAAGAAAGTAGGGCGATGGGGATGCTGCCATATCCCTGGTTTCTCCGTATTTCCATTCACTTCTCTTTTACATCTTGCACACAGGACATCTTCGTCCTTTTTTGATTTTTTCCCCTTGATTCGTTCAAAAACACTGGGATGTGGTCTAGGATCCTCTTCTCCATCATTTACGACCAACTTGAATTTTGGCAACTTGTTTTTGAAACCAGACGTCTCCATGTTCACTCCAAGTAGCTGTGGAAAAGGATTTTCATCCACTACCATCTTCTTCTTATCGTCGAACGTAATTCGTCCTGATTCAATGGCATCCTGCAACACATGGCAAAAAACCAAGCAATTGTTAGTCAAATGTGACCATGCATTATGCCACTTACAATATTTTTTACCCTTAATTTGTTCAGGGTTTGGCAATTTATGCTTATCGCTCAGCTTTATCTGTTTATCCCTATATAATTTATCAAATATAAGGTCAGCTTTGGTTACATCGAACGAGAACGTTCTAGCCTTTATATTTCCACCTTTCATGAGCTCATCTTCGCCCAATGGTCTAGGCTTGGCCATTACAGGACAAGTATACGTATCTCTTTTGAGCAATTCGGCCAAACACATTTCGGCCTGATCGTATGACTCGTCGCTGATGGTATGAACGTCAAAATTTGGGTCTTTGTAATAAGTCCCTTTACTAGAATTTTTCATCTGCTTTTCCTCTCTCATCAGTCGTTCATACCTAATCACATTCGCACTCAACTGGAAAAGGTCAGGAAATTCCTTGTCCTGAAATTTCTTTTTTAAATCAAAGCTCAAACAACCTTGAGTGATTTTGACAAATTCTTTTTCGGGCAGAGGTACAAAACACTTGTTTCTTGCTGTCTTGAACCTTTGGAGAAAACTTTCTGCCCATTCGTTTGGCATTTGACGTAGACTCGTCAAATCAGCTAAAGTGACTTCGGACTCAATTTTATAAAACTGAGCGTGGAATAACTGTTCCAATTGTTGCCATGTTTGAACAGAGTTCGCTGGCAAGTTGATGAACCAGGAAAAAGCTACTCCTGTTAATGAACTAGCGAAAAGCCTCATTTTATGGTAATCAGTTACATCACCACTTTGCAATGTGAATCGCCCTATATGTTCTAGAGTAGACACCTCTCCTAAATCGGTAAACAGTGAGAATTCTGGTACTTTATACCCTCTAGGCCATGGATATGCTTGGTCTACCCAATCAGGATATGGCTTTGTGTAAGTCGGCCTAATGACAGGACACACCCCAAAAGCCATCTGATCCTATACGATTTCCGTAATCTGATTCCTCAACATGACGTTGGGGTCATATGGAATTCCTACAGGTTGGTTAACCGGTTGATTTGCATGAGGCCTGATGTTTGGTCCTTGATTGGCAACAAAGTTATCATGATTAGGGTCATTACCATTAGCCGGAACATCTACTCCTTCATTAACACGTGGGGTATTCTGTCCATTGTTTAGGACATTATCTCTTACATTTGGATTACCCCCCAAGTTAGGCGTACCACTACCATTGTTCTGATTTGGCACTGCACCACCCCTTGGTTTGAGGTAGAGGGACCAGAAAGTGGTTCTACCCCTTGATTCGGATTTAGGACTGAGGGATTATGTCCGACAATTGTCCTAATTTGAAAGTGGTTTGCAAGAGGCATAACCGGTTGACATATTTGGCCTACTAACTTATTCATTATTTCGTTCAAAGTGTTTAGTTGTTTGGCCATGTTGTCATAATGTGCATTCCCATTTTGGGTAAATCTTTCCATATTATGAATACTTCGAAGATTTACCTGTTCAACGACGTCTTGTGTGAATTCTCCAAGTAATGCATGCATGGTTCGAGGACTCAACTCTGTCATTGGTTTGTAACGACTGTTACTGCTCTGATTCTGTCCATCTGTTCGTGGAGAGGCATGCTGCTCCTCATATCGCTCGATCACAGACTGGACTCCTCCCTGACTTGCTGCTTCCTTATCGGATCTCTGAGGTATATTGTTTCACCTTTTGTATTTTCAACACCAAATACCACTGTCCCATCGGGCGTGCCAAATTGTTTCGCGCGTGTTCGTCGCTAACAATTAAAAGGGATCAGACGATTGTGTAAGGGACAAACCTCTTGAGACAAAGTCCCAAAAAGGGATGTTCTTTATTGGCGATGACTTTACAATCGGAAATTAAAAACAGAATGCCTTCAAGGGGCGCAAGCACACGAGTTACTGAAAGAAGTGTTTAAATCTAAGCTAAGAAATTTAAAATTACATGTTCTCTGTTCGAGAGTTTTTGATTTTGGTCCTTTTGCTCTATGTCCTTCCTTCCTTTTATACTCCCTAGATGATCTCTTTGTGATCAACCGCCTAAAAACTGTTGGATCGTTCTATAACTGCCCATTTTCCTCGTAATGGCCAACTTGTTATGGAACTACCTTTTCTAACTGCTGCCATTACTCTTTGTCGTTCAACCGTCTTCAATTAAGTTCCTTGAATCATGGAACACGATAGGGTTGCTTTAATAACTGCTTTGATAACTGCACTTCTTGATAACCACAACACTTTATGTTTGCTAAGACCTTGGGCGACTCGAAGGTTTGGGCGAGAATAGAGTAACAGCTCTGGGCGACTGCATGGCACTCCCTTCGCTCAGATTCTGGGCGACTTGCAAACTTAGGCGATGGTGTTGCCCCGTTCTTGGGCCTCCCTATTTGGGCCTTCATCTTGAATTGTTTGATTGGGCTTCGTTCTTTGGGCTATCTGATTTGGGGATCCTCCAATTGGGTTTCATTCCTTGGGCTGTTCGATTTGGGCTGAATTTTTATGTGTCAACACTTGTACATGAGAATTGTGATTGATACGGAGGAAGATGAAGGAAGAAATTCGCGTTATATGCAAAGCATCAATGAAAATATATGGTTTTAGGGGAAAGATTTGTTAAACTTTCATGATTGATTTTGTTGAACTTGAATGTGTTCTCTAACTCAAATTAAATAAGATGCAATCATTTTTTCCTTGTACATGAGAATTGTGATTGATTATGCTGTTTAAATCTCGAACAACAATAATGAACATAGAGACTGATTCATTTTTTTACAGTAAATACGGTTAGCAAACTTCTTGACTCAAGAAAGCTGATTTCCAAAAAAAAAAAAAAGGTCTAGAATACACTGACAAGACTTTACTTACAAGAAAATAAAGTGTACTAGAAAATTCTCTAATCAATTGTTAAGTGCACCTCACCAACCAAACAAAAAGCCATGTTTAGTGACCCATTGTTTGGTAATGGTACCACCCTCCTATTTTCTCTTTTCCTTAAGCAACAATAATCTATTTGGTGGGCTCTTTTAGTTATTCCATAATGTCATGTTATATATTTTTAGTGTTCAAATTGAGTGATTTAAATTTAGAATCTAACAAGTCAACATCTTATTCCATTTTGTCCAAGACCATGGAATTGATATATATATATTTAGCGTAAGTTGGGATGAATTTCCCTTCGCTTTCTACTTGATTCCACTGGGCTTTTTGATAAGCAAGTTGACCATTCAGTTGTAAGACATAAATGTTCATAGAGTTGCAAGTCAGTGGACTCTATTAACTAGTTTTTCGACCTTAGTTGATTTTTTCTTTTTCGTTACACAAAATATGCATTTAAGTATCGTGATTAGCACAAATTAGTTGGAAAAATTAGGATTTGGGTCCTTGACCATGTGACATAAAGCTAGACCGTGACATTAAAAAATTGTACGTGCTTTTCACGTTATTTAAACTTGAACTTTAAATGATTTGACAATATTAGCCTCCAGTTTTAAGGCACATAAAAGTTTCAAGTGATTTGAACAATCATATTGACGGGTTCTATCACATGGAGATCCAAATGCACATATTAAAATAATTAGTTGGGACATAAAATTCAGTTGAAAACCTGAAAAACCATATAAATTGAAAGTTAAGAAAGTTCGGCCATGATTATCTCAAATTATTCAAATGTGGAGAGAATTGTGAAAGAAAAGGGGCCGACACCTATAGACATCCCTAAACCTCCTTTTTCTTAATAATTGAAAATTATAATGGAGAATCATCTATTTGATTTAAAAGGTAATGGACATCCTACAAAAGTATCCTTTATTATTTGATAATGTAGTAACCATAATTCATAACCCAGCCTGGAAAGTTTGATTGTTCAATTAAAAATGTGACTTCTGTGTGTCTAATTCAAGATTAATATGCCATACTGATGCATACCATCACATTGTACTTTAAAAAGTCAAAAAGTTATAATCTGTCTTGTGGAATGAAGATTTCAATACAAAGAAAATGGGCTTATTTTCACACCTTAGTAACAATTTGAACGCCATTAAAATTTACTGCATTCATACCCACATCAAAATAGTCCATATCAGTGGGTCCATGTGACCATATAGTGCATATACACACAACAAGAAACAAAGAAAAACAAATGATTATAAAGTAAAAAAGAGGAGTAATTGAATTTTGTAATGTGCATTCTTTGTTACAAAGAAATTTGAAAGTTCGTAACTTCATCCACAAGGGAGAATCATTAATGCATACTTCCTTTTGTCTGCATTGATAAAAGAAAAAAATATATGACAATAGTGTATCATATTTATACGATACACATGTTACAAACAAATTGACTGGTGTGCACTGCGCGTATATCCAAAGTGATATAGGTTGGTAGAAGGAGACACCCCCAAGGACGAGCAAGGCAGATCACAGTACACCGATGCAAGGCCATCGACCCTCATAGGGCGTTCTACCACTACACCCAGGGAGCGCTCTACCACTACATCTAGGGAGCGCTCTTCCTACCTTCCCCTTCAGATGTACTCTCTACCATTTTGAATTAAAAAGGGGGCAGCTCTCGTTTAGAATTCCCAGCAGTAGGAGCTCTCGTTTTTCATAGAAGGGTGGTGGTTCTTCATTGGTTTTTTCCCCTCTCTCTTTGGAAGGCAATTGGCATAACATGGGGCTGTTCCTGAGCCTGGAAAAACACCCATAAATCGAAGAAGGAGCTGCTGAAAAGAAGCAGCAAAGCTGGACAGATTTTCGGCCAAAGAAGGGGAGTATTCTTCCGGTTTATTTTTCTTGTTTTTGCCTTGAATCTTGTTTGTTGATTGTTGTTTTGGTTTGTTTGAACTCCTAGGATCCCCAACACCACCCTTGAAAAATTCCATATCTTTCTCAATCACAATGTTTTTTGTACTTATATTTTTCTCATAAGAATGAAAAAGAAAACTTACTTTTATCATCACAAAATAAAGTGTCAGATTCACAGATCTTCAAGCTTAGCAAGCTGAGTCCTTGATCTTCATACCATGTGGTGAAATTCAGAAAATTTCTGATTTCCAGGATTACACTTTTTGATTCATCAAGAAGAAGAAGAATGCAGTGGACTAATCTGTAATTTCTTGACAATTTAAGTCTCTCTTTTTTATGCCAATTATGTTACAATTTAATTAGGATGCAAAAAATAGTCATTTTGCACATAAAGTGTCATTTTTAAATCAAATCTTTACACATTCCCTTTATTTATTATTGTCTCGATAATTTTATTTAATTATATTCTCTTCTTCATGCATGCAAATTTACTTCATTCTGGTGGTAATTAATTTCCCGTTTTGATGATTTTACAGTAAAATTCACTCCTAATTTTGGTTTAGTTACAATTGCTCAAACATTGTCTATTTTAAATGACTAATTACTTTATTTCAATTAAATACTACTTGGTGATTTTGGGTTGATACCATTTGATCACAAATCTACTTTACAAAAGTTTGTATCTTTATTTATTTCACCTTTTTCAATTTTTAAGCAGCAGAATATTTTCATAAACATGAAACCACATATTTGATTGCAATTTCTTGTTGTATAGACTAAAAAACCTTTTTGATAGGAGGATTAATTTAAAAAAAGAATCTAAAATCTATTAACTGTAATCATGAACCAGAAAATTCAAGAAAACTTGGTATAAATATAGCTTTCTCGTTGCATTAAACTTGACGTGTAGCCTTTCACTTCTTGAAAATTATTTCGATTTTGATATGGGTGGAACCAGCAATGTATTTTTTTATTTTGCCACTCACAAATTATGCCGTTTAAGTAGAACAAGCACTATATAATGTACTTTAAATTAGTCGCGAATTATATCATTAAGTGGAACAAGCGCGTGTTTAACACTTGTACGATGGACTCATGAGCTACACTTGCATTGTCACGAATGCAGTGTCTGATAATGTTAAGCAACAAATTTTAAGCATTAAATCAATTGAGACAATACAAGGTTGTTATCTGACAACTGAGTTGTATTTTGTATCATTGCTTTGCTACGCATTAATTTGTAGGCAAAAATTTGTCGTGAGTGAAAGTGCTAGTAGAGGACATTAGCAGATTAGCTGGATGGTAATTTAGTCTAATGGTATGGGTCCCACCAAATTTCGAGGGTGTTTGATAGGAATTAAAATTAAATTTTTTAGTAGATTGCGATGGAAATTTTTGAAATGCGTGGTTGAAAAGTTGTGAGAACATAAAATATGTGGTTAATATTGATTGTTTAACTTTAACTTAAATTAAAATCAGATTTTAATCCATACCAAACATGCTCTTCATCAATCGATGCAGACAAAGATGTAGTGGGACCAAGAAACAAAATTATTTGTGATGGTTTTCTCAAGATTATTAATGCCCAAGAAACTAAATCTCTTTGGTTCAACTAAAAAGTTAAAATTAAAATCAACAATTAAATTTAAGTCCTTGTTTGAGCAACATTATATTCTTAAGAATGCTTTTTGAATAGTGTATTGATAGAAAATGTGTAGTTAAAAAATAACGAAAAGTTTTGAATTTGCATGCAATATTATTTTATTAAAAAATGTGTGGTTGAAATGATGTCAAATCACTGTTTAAAAATATATTTTTTTGAAAAAATGTGGCTCAAACATAGCACTAATTATATGTTT